GCTTCGTTTACATCACGTGTGAAGTCATCCATGTGGTTTATTTTAATGACGCCTGTAGATTTGGACAAAACAGTGATAGTGTTGGAAAATGACTGACTACATTTCTCTTCTCTCCCTTTTCAGGACGAACGTTGAACCTCTGCTTGATGGGTGCAGTTACTGCCGGGTGACAGAGGATGATATTCAGGCCAGCCTCAGAAACATCTTTCATTACTGCTTCGGTTGGGTCTTGGGTTTTGGGCAACGGCGGTCTTGTGACTCAGACAAACTACTGACTTTATTTTCAGTGTCGATTGCAAAGAACGTAAACTCAACCCTGAGTCGTATCACAGGGTCCACATCCTTGCAATCAGATAGATCCCCAACAAACAAACTTTGTTGGGATGGTTTACAGTGTAGTGAACATTTTAAAGGACTGTGCAAAGACCTTAGCTCCCCCTTTTGTAGATGGTGAGAGTCGCAGCTATAGCATTGTTGAATCGCCAAACTCTGAGGAAGATGACGACTTTAAATCAGAGTCTGTAGAGACTTGTAAAAGCACACAGACTCAAGCTTGTGTAGGTGAGGGAGATTTGGGTAGCGAGGTCAACAATGATATATTTCAAATCACTGATGTCCAAAATCTTGACCTGAGAGTTCAGAGAGTGAAGAAAAATGTAGCGACGCCCCGCAGTGTTCGTCTGGGACGCTTCCTACGCCTGCAGAGACCGATACCTTTCTCACTTTGTGTCTTGCAAATTTAGTCGCTCACGTTTCTGAGAAAACACAAACAACTGCTGTAAAGCTGAATTTTCAGCAGATAGTGACTGATATAAGAGAGAAGATTGGGGGAGACTTGACTCCTCTAAAAACTGTAACAAACTTGTACATCATAATGTACAAAGACCTGTGTCGCAAATTTGGATCCAAATACGTGCTTCAGTTTGTGATGGAAAAGGGTCACGCGACTTTTGTAGCAGCCGTTGTGGAGCTATTAAAAGCGGAGCTAAAAGCATTGAGTGGCTCCAGTCACGCGCCGAGACGTTTAGAAAGTGACAAAAGCGTTTCTCCAGCCAGTGAGAAGAAAATGCAACAATCTGCTAGTGAAGACAAGGTACAAAATGGATCCACAGGTTCCCAGAAAGACAGGCCGAGAAACTGTATCGTTAGGGCCCTCACTTCTTTTTGTAGATCTTTGAGGAGGCTGTTCAGTTGCTGCATGAGCAGCGAGTCAGAAACAGAGTGACAGAGTGAGCAGCAGCGGGTCTGTGGGGCCTCTCACAGTGCAGACATGCACTTTGATCGGACACTCTAAATCACTCACATAATTTGCTTCTTAATTTGGAAATAAAATGAGCAGAAAATGAAACAAATGTGTTTGTCAGAACATTTAATTGTTAAATGTGTATAATGGTTTGTAGTCTCATCAATCACAATGTAGAGACAATCGCACAAACTCGATTTGGTGAGAGCACTTTGAGTTGGTTTGTCATTGTGGGTTAAATGTAGATATTTATTCTAGATATTTGGCACAAAGGCATCCTCAGCTCTGTAACAGAGAGGTGTTGGCTCTGTGTGAAAATGTCCTGATGATATCAGTACTTTTGATTTTAGCCTGACTGATCAAGTTCCAGTTAAAGGGTTTTGACTGTCTTGAGAGACGGCACATTGTAGACAGAGAGCCATATTCCTAACTGTAAAAATCAAAAAACAGTCTTAGGCTACGTTCACTCTGCAGGTCTTGATGCTCAATTCCGATTTTTTGATCAAATCTGATTTTTTTGTCTGCTTGTTCACACTACAATTAAAATGCGACAGCAAACGCGCTCTAGTGTGAACGCTCAGAGCGGCCGCATGCGCTCTGTTTAGACCCAGAGCAAACAGTATTGTGTGACTGATGGCCCTTAATGTAAAGACTTCAGACTTTACGTTTCCCAGTTTTGTTTTAAGTTATAAAGTTTTGTTATTTACATTTGGCCTAATAATGATCCTTACTGCTGTTTTAGAGGAGCGCTGCTTCTAGCTGCAGATTTCTGTCAGAATCTGCAGATTACACAGTACAAATAAAATGTTCACGTTTCTCCAACGTTGTCTTCCCAACAATTTCACCATGTCGGGCGCTGATAGTTGGCGTCTGTCTTGTGTCAGTGACGTAGAAGACGGATTTAATGCAACATGACCATCAAACAGCAGTCGCTTTCTAAAAAAATCAGATATGTATCGGATTCAGCACCACATACGAAAGTGACCCAGATCGGATTTGAAAATATCGGATTTGTGTCGTTCACACCGTCACACCATGATCGGATAGATGGGTCGCAGAGGGTCAAAGAAGTCGGATTTGATGCGCTTTCCCCTGCATCCGATGTGAAAGGACCTTTATGCTGCGCACTGTGACTCACAGCCATGGTCCCGGGTCAGCCCTGACTTTGTGTTAAACTAATCCTAAATTAATAATGGTATTTCTAACCACTGATATACCACAACTTTATCCTTTCAACAGCTGCTGAAAGTAAGGGCACCTAACTGCTATCGGATATTTATATAGAGATCCTCCAGCTTCAAACTGTATTACCTTTCAAGGACCTGCAGTCCAAAAAAGCACCCCTCCGACAGCCAAACTCATCTGTTCTCTGATTGGATAGTTACATTTGTGATTGACATGACATTGGCCAATCAGATGAAAGGAAGAAAAATAGGGTCAAAATTTGTACTTGTAACTTGCAGGTTTTTTTTTTTTCCACGCACAAATCTTCTTTTACACACACAAATCTTTTTTACGCACACACAAATTCTGTTTACACATACAAATCCTGATTTACAAGTACAAAATATTTATGACCACATTTTGAGCCCATAAGTGTTCTGTGAGGTTAGCTCCCACATGTGTGACCCGCTCGCATGGGAAGGACAGAGTTTGCTTTTTACAATGGGGTGTTAGCATCCAAACATATGAGCCAACAGATGGAGGAGAGAGGAGTAGTTGGGACGTGGTCGTACGCAGAGAAAAAGAACTGATTTGAAAGAAAATGTTGGGAAAAAGAAAAGTGGAGAAACCACTGCGGGTTTGTATGTAATGATAGGCTTTATTTACAGTAAAATCTAGTAGTTTGCAGTAAATGTTATGACATCTGCAAAGATCTGAAAGAAACTAATGATGTCGCTGTTCACAGGACAAAATTAGATCACATAGGTCAGTGTCATGAGGGCCAAAGCGTCGGTGTGGACACCACATAATGCAAACTTCATGCATGACTCCAGCTCAGGACATATTTGCATGCCACCCTCCTCTCTCTGATTTCCACTGTTTCTTGCCTACGTCTACAATCTGTGACAGAGATGCAGGGATTGAGTAATTTGTTTGTTTTTTATTGTGAGGTATAAAAACAGTTTTTTTCCCCCATTCGAGGAAAGAAAGTTTACCATTTTCACACAAACAAATATCATTTAGGAAAATGATAGAATTATTTATTTTGATAAATAATGAAGTTGAGTGTAAATCGTCCACAAACCTGCGCATTTCTTTATGAACAGAAGGTACAGACGAGCCGTCTACGATGAGCTGTGCTGATATATGAACAGCTGTCTGTGACTACAGGCCTGATTATCTGCTGCGCTTTTTCCTCCCACGCCTTTGCCTCATAATACAATTTGATTTTTGCTGGTTTATTTGTTTACTTGTCTCTTCTCTAGCCACACAGTTGCAAGCGTGGGAATCGGAAAATTGTTCCTGTTTAATTTCATTCATTGATTTAACACCAAAACAAAACATAAAAATACAGACTCTTTCCCAGTAATGCAATCATCTCAGTGTCTGTTTAACACTGTTGTTCTAAGAAACCTGCAAAAATACAGGCATAATTATGATTTAAATAAGGCAATGTCTGACTAAAGATTAGGTAAACCAGCTTCAGCACTCAATTTGGTTGCTGCTCAAAATGTATTTAGATTAGATACCCTGCCTTTTCTCCACTAAATGTGCAGTACAGAAGGTTTGTATTTTGTTTGATGGTCTTAATAATACAAATTTCTTAACAACCGAGCAGACAGGAGCCAAAAATAAGAAAGGCAAAGAACTGTGTTAACAGAACCATCGCATCTCGGTCGTCATCCGTCTTTGACTGACAACTGCGGTGCAGGTGGTACGAAAATGATTTAAAGCTGTGTGACAGCAACAAAACTGAGCGTATGATTTAAAGGCACATTATCCAAGTAGTCGAGGTGCAATTAGATTAACCTCACCTAAGAGTGATGTTTACACCTCAGTCTGCAGAAACAGCTGGTGTTTCATATCCAGTGGCAGATGTGTCCCGTTAGATGTAATCCTTTATTGGTGGGCTTTACTAAATGTTCTACTTTTATTCCCCCTGGCAAAATGTCTTTACTTTAGTACTGCAGTATTTTCACAGCAGGGTGGGAGGTCTGAGGTTTTACATAACTGCTAGTATAACTTTTTCCTTCCTACTATAATACAGACAACAAGCTTCCACTTTAGTCTGCTAAACTAAATTAAGCCTGGCGGGGTCGTACATCTTATTTTACTTCTGTGTGTTTTACCATTTTACAATCAGTCTTTTTAAATACTGTTTTATGCGTTATAGAGGCAGTAATAAGCAGCCATATTTTCAGTAAGCAAAATATTTACATTGATTATCATGGAACCGCTTATTTTCAGCAACAGCAGACAAACAATATAGCACCACTGCTTTTCCTACCTTAACGTAGTCCACTGTGGCGTCGGGCCCGGCTGCAGGCTCCCTGGGGAACACAGACAGAGACAAGGTCCGATTTAGAGAACACATCCTGCCAAAAGGACCCAGATGGGACCTTTAGGTCCTCCTTATAGCTCCTATTACAAATAAACTGCACAGTCAAGGCCGCTCGCTGACTAGTGCTGAAGATGGGTATTCAGCCCTCGTCACTCCGTAGGAGATGAATTATAGGTGTGGAGGTGTGGCACTTTTTCTTTAAAGGTCTAACAGGGTGATCCAAACAAGTGCCTGTATGATAAGAAGCCAAACCTGCGCTCTAAAGCAGAGGGCTGATTCTTGTGGCAACGCAGAGTTAATCCACATCTACTACTGTAGGTCCCACTTGGGAGTGGGTTTCTCAAAGAAAAGAAAAACGAATCAAGTGGAACCAAAGTTTGCACTACACTGCTTTAAGTCTCCTGTTTTCCCGGTTTCGCTGCCTGACTTTCACTCCCTTTCTTTTAGTGGTAAACATGTTCCCTTACTGCCTGTCTGACTTGGCCTCTCTCTCTCTTTCTCTCTCTCTCTCCTCCCCCATCATAACACATCACAGCCACACGCCTGCCATTCAGAGTCCACTGACAATTTCACAGAGAGGTTAGAGCACACACACACAAACACACACTTTTCTAATTTCCTCTTTTTGCATTTTTCTGTAATTCTCTTATTCACAAAAAAATGCTTTTGTCCATCTTCCTAATCTCAGCTTACACGCGCTGCAGTTTTATCTGCTTTTTTAATCACTTTTGTTTATCAATTGTTTAAAGATCAGATTACTCATTTTCAGTCTTCGTATTTTTGTTCTCCGTTTGTTTTTTCCGCCAATGTTAGCTTGTCACATTTTATCCCTTAACAAAACTCTTTCGGTGCTCTCCATCTCTGCGTTGAACATTGGTACTCGAGTTGCAGCTCAGTCTCGACAGGAGGCTTACAAACAGGGGCTCAGTGAAAGGGGTAATTAGCTCAAATCCGTGGCTACATTACCAAGGTTGGTAGTTTAAATCCCTTAGGCCTGCACTGGTTTTCCCACGGGAATATTAGCACAGTCCATTACTTACCAAACCAAATATGTGCAGCTCTAAGCCCTCGCAGTTTGAACATGGCCCCAAATAATGAGTGGGATTTAGTTATGTAACTGAACAGAAGCCCCCATTCACAACAATGTATAGTCATCATTCATGGAAGGTGTTCAGATCACTCTTACCCTTAATGAGTTTGCAGAACCGATGAAATGCAGCATATTAAACCTGATTCTATTTTAGGTGCACAGATCAGTCATCTGGCAGGTCGTCAGGGCTTACAGATGAAATCTGCACCGAGGTTTCCTCTCAGTGGCTGTGTCTGACACCATCAGGAACTTCCTGAAGGTGCTGAGAGAAAGCACTTTCAGCTGCACCACAAGGAGTCGCTACAGTAGGTCGCTCCGCCAGGTTGATTTTTTGTTTTGTTTTGTATTGTCTCCACCTAAAATCAAACTGGGCATCCTTCACCAGTGTAAACCCCTACACTATACACTAAACATTCAGCCATTGCAATAATACCATGTGTGTGTTGCATTCATGACATTTTAGAATGATTACCAACAAAACTTAAAAATTGCCAAACAGATGAAAACAACATCCATTAGCATGTGTAGTCCTATTTAGAAACAGATGAGTACAAAATAAATCAAATTAAATGTACTATAAAGTAAAACTTTATGCACTTTGAGTATACTGGAGCGGAACTAATTTCTTTGTGAGGTTTATTTGACGATTGTATGACTCAGTCCGTCACTGTATTTGGAAAAAGCGCCATAAATGTAATGTTGGGGAAATTTTTTGAAGTCTAAGAATGGGGCGCTCTTTCAGGAATTCACGCTCTGAACCGCCCCCTTGCCTCACCTCCTAAACTGCCACAAAACTAGCAGCAGCATCGAGTTTGAAGATGTGATCAAGTGCTTTCGATCTACTCTACTTTCCACAGCATTTCCGAAATTGCTCCCTTTCATTCATTCCCATACAGATGCCGTGTGCTTGTTCCTGAAACGTCTTTTCACATTTTTGGGGTTATTTTTTTTTCACTGTAGACCATTTACAGAAGTAAGACAAGACACGTTTCAGGTATTAGCAGAGACAGCAAACAAATCTGTTTGCCTGCTGTTAAATTCTCAATTTTCCTTTGCTTTCTTTAAAAAAAAAAAAAAAAGTAAAATATACAACTATGTGTACAGGGAGTGCAGAATTATTAGGCAAGTTGTATTTTTGAGGAATAATTTTATTATTGAACAACAACCATGTTCTCAACGAACCCAAAAAACTCATTAATATCAAAGCTGAATGTTTTTGGAAGTAGTTTTTAGTTTTAGCTATTTTAGGGGGATATCTGTGTGTGCAGGTGACTATTACTGTGCATAATTATTAGGCAACTTAACAAAAGACAAATATATACCCATTTCAATTATTTATTTTTACCGTTGAACCAATATAACATCTTCACATTCACAAATAGACATTTCTGACATTCAAAAACAAAACAAAAACAAATCAGCGACCAATATAGCCACCTTTCTTTGCAAGGACACTCAAAAGCCTGCCATCCATGGATTCTGTCAGTGTTTTGATCTATTTTTGACTTTTCTGAGCCTGTCAAGTCCTTCTTTTGACCCATTTTGCCAAAGGAAAGGACCTTGCCTAATAATTATGCACACCTGATATAGGGTGTTGGTGTCATTAGACCACACCCCTTCTCATTACAGAGATGCACATCACCTAATATGCTTAATTGGTAGTAGGCTTTCGAGCCTATACAGCTTGGAGTAAGACAACATGCATGAAGAGGATGATGCACTCCCTGTATGCATCCATGCTCTCCCCTGCTATTCCAAAATTACAGGATGAAGCACCAAGCGATAGATATTGCTTTCTCCATCCATCCATCCTCTTTCACTTATCCAATATAGGGGTCACAGTGGGGATGGCGCCTATCCCAGCTGTCTGATAGGTTGTGTACACCCTGGACAGGTCACCAGTCTACTGCAGGGTAATAGAGACACAAACGTTTATGCTTACATTTGTACCTAAATTCAATTTTAAAAGTCACCAGTTAATCTAACACATATGTCTTTGGATTGTGGGAGGAAGCTATAAATAGCCAGAGACCTTCTTGCCGTGAGATGACAGTGCTAACCACTGCACTGCTGACATGCTGACAAAATTTAAAATGTGAACTGCTGGTGATACTCTATATCAAAGCAATAGGAAGCTTCTACCAATGGGAAAAGAGCTGTGAGTGGCTGCAGAGCCTCTGTCCTATGTTATAAAAGCACCTGCTGCAGGTAATGCATTATGTTTGGCATACGCTGATTAGTGCTTGATATTCAATGCTGAAGATAAAGGACATAGAAGCAGTAGAGGAATTTCTGTGGTTTGAAATCTAAACTAAAAGCAGAAACTCACTGAACATTTTCTGTATCCATGTGTGTTGCTTCTCTGAGGTCAGTGGTTTGCTGGACCTTTGATGGGACCAAAGTTTTTTACCACTCCAACCACTTGCCCCTTGTAACCTCAGCCTGGATCTCCAGGATTAGGTGGGTTCAATGCAGACAGACAACACCCATCTACATCCTCCTGGGTTAAAAGTGCCAAAATTGAGGGAGGGAAATTCCCTTTTTTGAAAATTCCCCTCAGGCAGGTCAAAGGTCAGGCTCACAAACAGAGTGATAGCCCCGGAGCAAACAGAGATTCGGTGTCACTCCTTGTGTGCTAGGTTAGCAATGTTTACTCATCCTGGCTACAGCGTTAAAAGAATTTAAACAGAGCATGATGGATGTGCGATAGCGAAGCATTCCAGGGGACACGAGCTGACCACTGCGAGGCAGCACTCGCCACAATCTTTTTCTGGCTACTGTTGTTCTTTGCGCTTCACCGCACAATACTCAGCAAGACCACAACTGGCTTAAGTTAGGAACTACACTATATTTGTGTGTGTGGGAGAGAGAGTGTGTTGAAGGGAGGCTAAGACAGAGAGAGAGAGAGACAAGGATAGGGAGAAATGGAAAAAGTTGATGGCAGCATGCAGAGTCTGAATGCAGCCTACAGAGGTCAGTGTGCTTCCATTAGAAAGTGAAAAGTCTCAATTTACTGTCAGTTTGTGTTTATCTTAGCTGATTTCTATGCATTCTAGTTTTAATACCACAGGCTGAACAGTTATTCTAAAATAAATGGCATTAATTAATTCCCAAAAGGCATTTGATCTTAGTTTCGTACAATATGCTGCAAAACACACTGGCTCTGTTGGCAGACAGTTGTCCTACAATGCAAAGCAGAAATGAAACGGAGTAACAAAAACTAAATAAACTGATAAATTAGAATAAATTAGAATAAGAACGGCTCTGACACCTGGCATCTTTTCAGATACAACATCTTTTCAGTACAAACAGGTAAAATACAAGGCTAAATGTCATTTGCACTGCTGTAGATAGCAGATTTACTCTGAATCATCCCCTTTCCAGGACAATCTGTTGAGTTTAGCCTACAAAAGGACATTTTTAGTGAACCTTTTGTAATGATTCAGCTTTCACAAAACTACAAAAAAAAAACAATAATATTGAGTGCATTTGGAAACAGGAAGTCCATTTTGTTCTTGATGATCAATGATGATCTGTTTACTGGTATGCATTTTATAGTGCATCCAAGGTATCCAAGGTAGCATAATGTTTAAAATTAAACACTGAACTATTGTTCTAAAGGAATGTTTGATATCTGTTTGTGTAGAATTTGCTTTCCATGGACTTGAGATCCGTGCACGATTGCGTTTGCTTCGTTTTATCCATTTATACAATTTGTTGCATCTTATTTTATACGGTAAAGCACTTTCTGGCTCTTAAAAAGCACTATATGAACAAACCTTACATAAAGTACTTGTTAGTGAGTTATTGTTAGCGGGTGGGGAATTCAGAATTTCATTTACACTATACAAATAAAAAGAAAAGTTTCAGATGTCACCAGTCTGTTATTGTCCATCTATACTCCCTCCAACTCTGAACTCTGTCTGCTCAGTTTCCTCCTCCCCCTCCTTTCTTGGTGGTCCTAGAGCTGCCCTCAAAGGTCAACACAAAGACACATGGACCAATGGGAAGATAGTGTGACATAAGGTTAGGGGTCATAGGCCAGCAATGGACAGTCAGTGGTTACATTCCATAAAGACATACTCATCATTTTACAGAAATCTCTGCTGTGAATTGTTTGTAGTTTGAAACCAAATGACCAGAGGTGGGAGGAAACTCTGGAATTTGGAAAATTTCTGGGAGTGTTAAGATCACAGTAAGCAAGCAATCTATATGTGCACTAGAAAAATAAAAAGTTTGAATGTTTTAGTTTGAATAGGAAAAAGAATTTGGGTCAACTCATAAAAACTAAGAAGAACCAGCATAATTGAACAGGAAACTTTAAATTTGAGGATGTGGACTTGAATAAGATACTTTCCTTTCTGTCAGGTCATTAGCTGCCATCCTTACATTATGGCTCAGTCACCCTAGAGTCAAAATAGAAGAGCGTGTGACTAGGTGGTTGTCATGGTTGCACATGTCCTCAACCTCAGGGTGATCACTTTCAATCACAAGGTTTGCCTGGGTGCAGAAAGCACATGGCTACAAAAACTGTGGCCCAACTTGGCTTGACTGCGACCACACTCAGACAGATTGGAGTGCGCAAGCAAATTATTGCCGTCTAATTCATAAATGCAGACTTGCAGCTTGCCAACACACTGTAATCAATCTGACGACAGCAATTGACTGAGTGGGTGCAAACCTGGTCCTTGTCTTTGAAGCAACCATTTCAAAGGCATCGAGATCCAAAGTTTATTACTTAAAGTTGCAATAATTTTGGATCTGCTCTGACTGCTTAAAGGGAACACTATTGACATTCTTTGCTGTCAGCCTAAAGTGGAGTTAATGGCAAACAATCTAAATCAAATTAGACACGTTTTAAAAAAAATGAAAAGTAGCTCAGAATGCAAAACTGTGTTATATCACCTGAAGTTATTCAGCTCAATTTTATTTGTATAACGCCAAATCACAACAACAGTCTCCTCAAGGTGCCTCGCCCCAGTGGGGCTGTGAGTTTTGGCCTGGAATAATTCAACAACTGAGTGGTAATGACGACAGAGAGTTCACAACATGAGAGAGACAAATATACTAACTGAGCCTTATTTGGAAATACTCTGGATTTGAGTCAGTAGATGGATAAGTTTAAAAACTCAACTGCGCTGATTCATCACTGAAACGACCAGGTTATCAAGCTATCACAGCAGGTCCCTGGTGGTTTGTTTATCTCCAGTTTCATGCTGAGCAAAAGATAAGACTGTGTTTTCGTGTTTTTCTACACAACAGCATGCTCACTTTCCTTCCGTTCCCTCTTTACCCAGTAACCTAATAATCGTATGTGTTTCCTGAGTATGTAGATATTTTGAAAAGATATGCTTAATTATCTGTAGTCTCGATATTTGGACTCAACATCTGAATGGTTCAAACCTGCACAGGTAATCTGAAGGAATAATCAAAAGCAACTTTTGCCTGATTCTCACAGTCTTAACTTGAAGTAAGGCTGGGGGGAGGGGGGGGGGTGTCAAGATCTCTGTCTAAATAAATAAATCTGGGTAGATTCCCAGATGATTAAACATGCAACTATTTCACATTCAAAATGAGTAAAGA